ATAAGGACCCTTTAGAAAACAGCTTTGGTTCTTCTTTAATCTGATTTTAGCAGGTGCAGCACGTGGATGAAAGCTTTTCAGCAGACGCTTTGGGAAAGTGACCATTAAAGGCAGGCGATTTATTTCACTGTAAATATGAGCTATTTTGGCTAAGGAGCCCTAAAAAAAAATAATCCAACATGTCAGTACACAGGTTTAGCACGCATGCTTCCAGCTTCTCTGAGCTTGCTGTGCTGTGTCAGTTCTCACATGTAAAATCAGCTTTCAAGAGATCATTTCTGTAATARTGTAACTTCACAGGAGAGGAATCTGTAGCCTTATAAAGCCCCATTTAAACAATCTTTCATATGGGCACAGCACTGGCACACCACTCAAATAAGTACCAATCAAAGGTATTTTTTCTAAAAGCTTTAACTTTATTTTTTACCTCCATTAACTCAGAGGGACAATGACTTCATAGATAACTGCAGCAGTTCCTAAATTCATAAATTTTAAGATTCACAAGAGACCAAGTCATCTGACATCGTCCACAACAGARACAAAAAATCCTACCAGCCCTTTCTGACAGCTCCTACTGAAAGAAAGGCAGAGAAGTTTAGAAATTGTAATTTTTTTTTAAAATGTATACCCATTCCATCAGCATTTGATGTTTGYCTGCTTGACGAACTTCCTTAAAACATCCAGGGAAGCTGTTGAAGGGCTTTTCCTTTTCAGATTTTATTGAGGAGACAAAGGGCAAATTTTATATTCAAAGGGCTTGAAGTGCTGCTAAAGGTCTGCCTTTAAATTCCCTAAAATTTAGGGAATTTAGTGAGAAGGGAGATGGTTTCATATTTACACAGTGCAAAGAGCACGACTCTCCAAACAGTGTGAGATGGCTGTAATACCTCAAAGGGGTGAGCTAAGGACAGAACATTTGCCTTTGACTTTCAAGGGTTCCATTTTTTTTTTCTTTTGGTCAACTTTAGCCAATTTACTCCCTCTTAAATAATTTTCCTGAAATAATAATACCTTATAAAACTTCAATTTTTTTCCTCTTGGTTTTCTTTTTTAGTTTAGTTTTGTTTTGTTTTGTTTTTTCACCCCTCATGAACAAATTATGTTTTTAATCAATATTCAAGAAGAAAAAATAATGCAGGAGAAAACTCTGTGACTTGGTTTTGGGCAGGGATCTAATTCAGGGCTGGATGGAGAGAGCTCATTACTGACACAGGGATTCCACTGTCCCTTTGCTGCTCCAAGCACTTGCAAAATTCAAGATAACCTGAGGAAAGAGTTTAAACATCTGATGGGGAATAGCATAGCACGTAATAACAAAGCTTYAACCACTGTGTGAGTATTTTCCACCTCTTTGATGTGAAAAAGAACGTAATTTTAATAGGCAGGAGGAGATCAATTGGTGATGATTTCGTAAAAGAAAATCGCAAAGAAAAATAAATGGTGTATGCAAAATACACATAGTATGGGTGCCCCAGGTTGGGTGGTTTAACAATGGTTTTTTTCTGTGAAGCTGGTATTTGCATTAGGTGTTTTTTATTTAAAATACCTGCTTGAAACAGAGCAGGCAGAACAAATCAACAAACAAAGAACAACCCTGCTCCGAAGCACAGAATTCCCTCTGTTCCTCRGGGATGTGAGGCAGTTAAAAGGGAAGGGGCTGTGCACCTCCAGCAATCCCCTCTGCAGGCACAGACTGTGCCAGAGAGGGGTTCCAAAAGGGAGCAAGTTCTTGCTGAGATTTTAAACCCTCTGTTTTGATGAGTTGGAGAGGTTCTTCTCTATGAAAAGAATTGCTCCCTTATGCCCTAAAGTTGTGTTGTGCTCGGTTCYGTGTCCCACGGGCCACGGCTCTGCCTGGCGAGGACACCCTGCACAAAAATCACCAGSCAGGAGTTCCTCCTGCTCCAAAACCCAGACCAGGGACCCCAGGGCTGCTCCAGATGCAAAGCCTTAACATACGTGTGGGAAAGTGGACGTAAAGTCCCCATTGAAAACAAAAACAAAAACAAAACAAAAAAAAAACGAACAAACAAAAAAAAATATAGAATTGCAACCACAGCATTTTATAACAGATGACATCCTGTTACCGCAGTCAGAGCTTTCTCCACGAGACAGGCACGGTGCTTTAGTGTGCCCTTACTCAAAGCATGTACAGACAAATGTAGAAAATGCAATATATTTGCATCCAGTGCAGCGCCAGTACACAGAAGCGAGCTCCGTGTGCTGGAATACAGCTTACAGCCTGCTAAGGAATTTTTCTCATTTTACAAACTGTTAGGACTCAGGGGTTTGCTAAAAATATTCTTTTGAAGCTTGTCTAGTCCTTGGCGAGTGTTCCAATTTATCCTGCCTTTAATGGTGAGAAACTGGGTTTTGTTAGGGCTGGGTACATGATCTCTGCTGCCTGGTGCTCAAAGGCAGCAGGAAAAAGCCTCTGATGAAGATACGTAAGAAGGGAAGAAAGAAGCAGCTTCTGATCTGGTTATTTCGTGATCAGAATTGCTTGAAATGAACTTTGATCCAGCCGCAATTCTGAAGAATTATAGCCAACAAATAAACAAACCCAMTGGAAAAAAAAAAAAAAAATTCCTTCGAGCTTTTATTCCCTCCTCGGTTTCCCTGGGCATCTTGTYGTCAGCCACAGGCTGATTTCAGGGAAAACTTGCCCAGACTGTGGCTCAGGCCTGTGGGTTGCAGGTTCCTGGCAGGAGGGACCAAAACCTGCTGTGCGTGGCTGGCACCGCACGGAGCACCTGGAGCGTAACAAGGGATAAACAATAACTGTCCACTAACCACATCAACGCTTTAAGGATCTCACATAAGTGGATAACTTGATTTGTAAATAAACTACATTTCAGGAATATTTCATAAACATCCTGCGCTAAGTTGGTGCCTGGGGTAATATAGATTTTCATCCATATTCATCTCCGCGCAGGAATTCCCGGGAGCTGCTGGTGGTTGCAGCAGCTCAAGCTTTCATGGTAATTTTTTTTCTCTTACTTCTCTTTTTTTTATTATTATTTTTTTTCTCGCTAAGCGGTGCTCCGAACGCCGCGATGGCTCAGCGAGCGCGGCCCCGGGCGGGAGCGGGTCCCGAACCCGCGGCCTCGGGAGCGCGGGGGCAGCGGGGCCGAGCGCTGCGCGGTGCGCCAGCGCCATCTACCGGCGGCGGCGGGGCGGCGCGGCTGTCGCGATTGTCGCCGATGTCGCCCGCCCGCGCAGCTCCCGATGGTTTTGTCGCTGCAGCAACGCGCCCGTCCTTAGGCCGCAGCTCAGCCGCTTAAGGCGAGGGGCAAACCGCTTCAAAACCGAGGGGCAAACCGCTTCAAAACCGAGGGGCAAACCGCTTAAAAACCGTGAACCGTGAGTTCACCCCGCGGGAATCCCCGATCCCGCTGCCCAGGTGGAGATGAGGTGGATTTTGTACTCGTGGCCGGTAAATGTTCTTTTATATCAATTGATTTGCTGCTGGGCCACCCCATCCGGTGGTAACTTGTTTGACTTCAGGTCTGCTGTGGTCTGGTGACGGAGCAATTATAAATTCAAGTGATTTTTTTTTTTTTCATGGAGTTTGTCACGGCAAGCAACGCTTTGGCTGTTTGCGTTTGTTTTAGTGCATCCAGTTGTGCGGGGTCACCAATGTGACGGTCAGTAATCACCGTGGCACAAGACTGCGCTGAGGAGGTGCCCTGTTGTCCCCAGCTGTTCACTCTGGCAACAGCTGGAAATCTCCAGGCAGTCCCTGAGATGTGCAGGGATCCTGAAATCAATTCATCACCCCAAGCAGGCGATCCCCTGGCCCGGTGAGCACAAACCACCTGGCTGGCTCTCCGTGTGCTTTCGCTTTGGAGCTGCAGGGAGCCASATCTGAAGCGTCTCTGCCTGGAAACTCCTGGCTAAGGCAGCGATCCACGGCCTTGCTTCTGATTTAATGTGACACCGAGGATGGGAAACAACATTATCCCCGTGTTTTCCTGCAGCAGTGAAACCACGATGGGCTGTGGTTGGTGTTTAAGGTATCCCAGCTGAAAGCTTGGTGTGTCTCACTCACAGAGGTCCTCCTGCAACGAATGATGTAAAAGTGTTTTTTTTCCTGAGCATAATTGGTCTGTATTGCTGTTTTCAAACGTAACAAAAACTRTTCCGGGTTGTTGGAGCTTTGAATGTTTGATTTGCACTTTAGGAGCTCACATTGGTGGGAAAGAGTTCCAGATATTTGGTTATTATTTGGTTACCCTGCCTCTCTGGACTTCTATGTTTCTTTTTGTTTAGATTTTTCCTGTGTTTCTGGTGTCCATCCTTAATGTAGAGAGAACTATTTTGAATATTTTCAGTTTCTAAAGGGAATGTCTGGTACTAAGTAAGTGCTCATAAAATAAGAGCAAATATTATCTCCAGGGGATAGAAAATACAACCCAATGGACATAGTTTTCTTTTTTTCATGGAAAAGTGCTTTTTAATACATTAATTGCATTTGGGATGGATAGCACAACAGCACTGGCTTTTTGGAATAAAGAATTGCAGTCTTTGGGGTTTTAAACTGAAGGGGTGAGGGACTTCTACCACAGTTCTGCAATCCCCTGGCTAAAAATTGATAACAAAAAAAAAATCTCTGCCCTGTTTTTATTGGAAATAAAACAATTCTGGGGCTGCCATGTGCTCATTGGATACTGGCAGGGAATTCTGGGGASGAAATGGAACTTGTTGATCTCCCTTGCACTGAGACCTGCAGACTTTGGGCTGTGGCTTTCTCCTCTGGGAGCAGGAATCATCTGGAATTATTCCTGTTGGAGTAACTTGAGCTGGCCAGAGGTGAGGCTTTCCTAAGCCCCGGGGTCTCTCCAGGGAGGAGATAAAAGCCAAATGTTGTTTGGAGGTTGCTGGTGGCTCTCAGAGGGCTCTGGCTGGACTCCACATCTGCGCGGTTGTGAACCTGCCTCAGAGGCAGAATTTTTTTTTTTTTGCTTAATGTTTTGGGTTTGGTTTTATCCTAAATATGAGATAAATATAAGATCTCCTCTTGCAGTGGCCTTTTCAGTCTTGGCTGCAGGACTAAATTTTGGCYGGAGCTCTGCACTGTCCAATCCTCAGGTGAGCTGCACCGACCCCTACAAGGGAAAGCAGAAAGCTGAGTGAGGATTGAAGTCCTTCCAGTTCCATCAGAGTTTTGCCTGGCTAAGGGCATAGGYAGTTGGCTACAAATTAATTCAGTTTAGTTTTCACCCAGAGAATGCTGCAAACTCCCCAGAAAGATAGATTTAATTTTTTTTCCTCGCTAACACAATCACAAAATAATACAGACTTCTCCCCACAAAGTGTTGATTGTTCTATAATGGAATCGTAAGTAATTTTGTAGTCGCTTTGGGGAAAAAGCAAAAACTGTTCTTAGCACCTGCTGTATGATATCACAAAGCTACGGCTCATAATGATTCTAATATGTGAAGGCAGTTGCATAATATCATCATATTACAGTTTGTATAAGGAAAAAAAAAAATCACGGACAAGAGATTGCCAGTAGAAACTCTTCCCGAWTGCTATTTTTTTCCTCATTGCTGTTCCTCTGTCTCAAAATATCTTTGCATTTTCCTTGTCAGAGTCTGTAGGTTTCATTGGTGGAAATAGCAGCCAGCAAATAATGAAGAGGGAAGGGGGAAAAAAAAAATCACCATTTAAA